ATATAGGACATATCTGTACAGTTTGACTTAGGTAGTAAACTTATCTAGGTTTATAAAATATAAAGTATGTATAAATAAAATAACAGGTATGCTTATAATTCTACTGTGGAAATGTGCAGTCATACATTTTAAAGTAAACGTACTGTACATCTATATCTTTGAAGCATTTAGGACCTGTTTGCCCAAGATGTGAGAGGATGAAAGAAATGTTCTTTCCTTCTTCTTTTAATTTACATATTTCCTCCATTATACTTCCACATGAAATCCTGGCAAATTTCCAGCACTGGTAGAATCTATGTGAGAAACGGCACATTTATGTTTTGGTTTAGACTAGAATAATAGAGCAAAAACATGATCAATATTTATATAAATGTCTTAAGGTTATACAGGTGTTTGTCACATAGCTTAATTGTTTGTAAGTAATAGCTCATGTTTCAAACAGGACTTATAGCTTTTTGGCCTTTGTTATAGAAAAGAAACAAGTAATTCTGGCTTAATTAACTCTGAGCGTTATTCTAACCTCAGTTGTCAATTGGGTTTGGAGTATAAAAGGTACACTTGTTATTGCCTATGAAATGTGAACAATGAAGAAGAACTTTCTTTTGTTTAATTTATCTAACCGAGTCAGACTAGAATATGCCCTTTACAAATCCTGGCTCTCTGACTGTGGTTTATTTTTTATAGTTCAAGAAGAATGATATAGTTAATGAACAATGAGGTCTTAGGCTGAGTGCAGGTTGCCTAGTAATGAGCAAAATGTAATGATTTAAACCAGATATTTATGATATTGCTGCAAAATATCATGCTTTGAAGGATGGCACCATTTGTCATTACACAAACAAGTGTTGCAGTTTTTAAACTTGAGGCCAAATCACAGAAAATACTTCTCATTAAAGTACAGCTTTTCAGAAAATGTAATGTTTCATAGAAAAATGTAATTTGTTTCTTCAATATCTACTCCTATTCATTGATCAACAATAGATTAGGCATAGGTATCTAGTGTAAATTAATCTGGTTTGTGTGAAACTGCACCTCTGTAAAATACTGTATAATCTGTTTTTGAGTCTATGCTGACAATCACAGTTTACTTGTATTTACATATGTTGCTATTAGCAATTATGCTTCCTTTTGTCTTTACATCCTGCATTACAAATTTGGTTGTGTTAAACAGGAAATGTTTTGATTTCACTTGTTGGCATTTCTAAGCAAAGCACCTACTAAACTGGAATATCTTGCCATATAAATCTTTTCCCCCGAAGACTAATTATGAAGTACTTGCTTGCGTTTCTCTGAAGTTAAGTTCAAGTGAGGTAAACCTGAAATCAGACAACAAAGAGCAATAGTATTTTCACCCCATTTTTTAAATTGAGTACAGTTCAAGTATTTTACCTTTACCAGAAACTTAAATGTATGTTCTATATTCATTGAAACAATCCATCCTTTCCTGTGATCAAAAATAATTAAAAAAATTAAGTCTGTGGAACGTTGGTTGACAGGTCACTTAACTGTCACTCTTTAAATATTTTAAACAGCATTTCAATTCCTTTAACTTACATAAAAATGAGGTACATAATATATTAACAAAGTACTGAAATAACTATAAATACCAGTTATACTACAAGGAATAATACTACAATACTAAAAGGATTAAAACTTTATGCTTGCTGTCTGTAGGGTTTCTAGCTTCAGTCTTTGTGGTTAGAATAAAATTAAATACAAAAGTTTGATCTTTGATATTTTTACATTCTAGAATTTGCAATTTTAAAACAAGACATACTAGACAAGATCCCCAAACTATAATTAAAATAAGTATTTTAAAGAGTTAATAATGTTAAGTATGTAAAGCAGTTTTCTCTTCATAAGCTAAAATGTAAACCACTTCAAATTCTTGAGGAGAAAAGGCACAATTGTTTTTCACTGCAAAGTCTTTTATTCCAAAATGGTTTTCCCGGCACAGCTGAATGAATAAGAATACTTGTTACCCCGAGAGTAGGGTTATCATTGGGTTGCTGAAAAATGACCCTCCTCCCTTAGACATTAGAAAGGCCCTCAAAGTTAAATACTGTACCTAGGGGTGGGGGACAAATTGACACATTTGCTTTACTAAGCAGTTTTGTGAGTACAGCAGGTGATACTCCAGGAGTGGGTGGACACAGGGGGGAACCCTTTAATACAGAGATTTTGCACAAATGATTTTTGCCCCCTCCCATCCAAACTACCACTATATCATTAAAATACGCAACTGGAGTTTTCTAACCATCACTGTAGCGATTTACTACCAGAGTGACTGGATGCTTTTTGTTTGCTTTGAAATGCTTCCTAATAGAACAGAATGCCATGATCTTATGTTTCTACATCTATTGCATTTTCAGCCGCCCCCAGAAGGTCTGCCTGTGCCCCTTCCTCCCAGTCCACCCTTTGGAAGTCTCCACATGTTTGTATATTGTTCAGCATCCAGCTGAGGTGAGTGAGGCTGTGGGAAGGGGCAGAGTTCGGCTTCCAAAAGGGAGAAGAAAACAGCCTGGGAAATGGCTGGAGAATTGCCTGTCAGTGAAACTGTGTCTGCTTCCTCTGGAGCTTCCCAGCGTACTCCAGGAGCAGTCATTAAACCCACAGCTGCCCGGCTGTCCATCCTTTACTCATCACATTTGTGCTGACGGGTATTTTTAAAGTCCCCAACTATTGCAGATATTGCTCTGGGGTTTCCTATGTGATATTTCCTTCCTGTTTACCTTTTTGCTACCACCAGCCCCATTATAATGTCTGATGTGGGGCTTAGAAAATTAAAAATAACTGGATAAACAAGGACAGTTTTTACTTAATTCTTTAGGGATGCTTGATACACGGTAAACAAACATTGAAATTTTTAATAGTATAGTACATTTCAAAAGTCAAGAGATTACTATAAAGTTAACTGTTTATACAGTACTAAAAATAGTTTAGTTTTAATGAATTAGAAAAAGAATTAAAAGTCCAGACATCACTGATCTTGATACAGTATTTATCTCTTGCTATAATCATAATAATGTCAGTGATCATAACTTGCCATTTAAAGGAGGGTATGCAATTGTAAAATAGTAAAAATGGGAATCCCTAAACATGTAGAAATGTCTTGAGACAAGAATCAAAGACTATAAGTTACTTAATACTGTAGATTTCAGGTATGTTAATGCAACAGAAAATTATTTTGACAATAATTCCAAACAGTTGAACCCCTGTTAAAACTCTGTACAGTTGCATACTTTACAACCATGGTCACAATAATGCCTTTACTGGTATCTATTGTATGCTCACCCATCAACTAATTGAGCAGCAGCAGTTTTATTTAGACAAAGTCTTTATAGTCTGAAGTCTGATCACTTCCAGTGATACATAAAGATTGTTGACTTCTAGCTCATGGTGTTTCATCTAGAGGTAACAAGTAGTACCACTGAGGACTGGAAATGGAAGTAGTGATTCTGCATTTTACAATATAAAACTTAAGCATTTTACTTTTCTTCTATAAAATACCAGAGTCCTCGTGCCAGTTTAGGATCTAGATGTGATACTTGTATTTTGAACACATATTTTCTCATTAAGCAATCATTATTGGATGTTGGTACTGTATTAATCTACTAGCCTGTATAGGAAAACTCATCTTCAAAGTTTCTTTTTTTTGCAGGAGAGTCGAGTACTGCGTACCGTTCCTCTTTTGGCTGCCTGTCTTCCTCCTGGAAAATGTAAAGTTTTAATTGGAAGAAGATTTAATGAGGAAAGGTAAAAGAGATAACATTATAATAAAACATGTCTCCTATCCCATGGTCATCCCCCAGAACATAAGCAATGCAAAAAAATAGGCAGGAAAATGGAACATCAGGGTTTTACAGTTGGAATAGGAGATTACCAACTTGTATAAAATAATTAGTGTTTGTTTTTCAGCTGTATTCAGATAACTTACATGGACACCTAAAGTATTTCCAATATTAAAAAAAGTTTTAATAATTTTACAGATAGGAAATTCTCTTTTAAATGTCTATCTCTAAGGTTTTATTCTAAATAAATGATGTGGAGGTGTAAAAGATAACTTGCAATGTTGTAGACTGTAGAATCTCGTAGAATGTATGAATGAACAACAGAAGCTGCTGGGCTCCCAACATGGCAAATATCAAAACTGCAGATATTAAACTGTTTTTCATTTGACCACATTATTGTTATCTGAACTCTCAAAAATACAGGTCATTATATAACAATTTCAAGTTTCAATAATGGCATTTTGTCTAGCATCCACAGAAGACATGACACATTAATTTTCTTTTTGTACAAAGGGGTACATCACATATGCTAATGTAGTTGAGACATGACATAGTTAATGCCCTTTTTTCCTAAAACAAAACCCTTTATCCAACAATATAATGAAAAAATAATTTAAGTGATAACCCATAAGATTTTATTTATATAGGGCAGTGCAATGGTGGCTATTAATTTGAAAATGGTCTGGAGTTTATAGGGAGTTCCAGATATTGCCCTCTTTATTTTTAAACAATATTTGAAGTTTTATTTTTTGGATGAAACCTAAAAGAAAGGGATTGGAAGTTAGCAGTAAAGCTATGCAAAATATACAGACATTGATTTATTTTATAAACAGTATATTGGAAAATGGGGAGGGGTAATTTAAATATGTATGGGTATTTCTTTGTTTTTTAGGTTGTAAAACCTTTAAACTGATAAAACCTTTTTTTCCATTTAATTTGATAATCACGTAGAACAAGTCAGCTCATTAACACACCCCTCCCAACACTCCCCCCTACATAATATGTAATGCCAAATTCCCCACACATTGCAAAACTAATCATAGACTGAATTATTTCTTAACCTGCCAGACAGTGTACAGTTTCATGTCAGACTTATTAGACACTTTCGGGATCATGGTCGACCATGAGGGTCAGTCATTGATGTTGACTGTTGAATTATGCCTGGAAATGAGTGTAAACAAATATGATTTAAAGAGATCTCAGTATCCACCTAACCCTGCAGCCAAGAAAAAATAATACTCTGCTGTAAATCCTGCCAATAAAGTGTCATACTTGAAAATTCTCTGAAATGTGGAAATTGTTTTTGAACAGTAGGGATCCAAGTTTCATTGAATAAATTACCTGGCACCTCTAAGACATATTGCCAAAACACACACCTCAGAATATACAGTATGTAAATATGTTCCAGGTGCACAGTGAATACATCTATGATGGAATGGGTTGCGAGTAATTCCCAGCTTGAACTATTGTGTGGTTTTAAATTTATTTCAACATTTTCAGCTCATGCCATACTTTTTACCAATACACCAAGTGATTTTAAAATCAGTACAATTTATTGCAAGAAATAAGCTTGTTTCAATGAACATAATCTTCATTGAAATACTGCTTTATATCCGGTAAGTGGTGAGATCCACAAGACACCATACTTTAAAACATGATATCTTTGGATTCTGTGGAAGGTGGTGTGGGAAGCACTTGTATAAGCTCCATATACAGATTTAAAATGGATCACCTGCTGTGCCAGATTTTTAGAAGGGAAAAAATATATTTGCCAAAACAATTTTCCAAAGTTGATTACTATTCATCTAGAGTAGTTCTCTCTTCCACTGCAACTGCAATCAAAGTTAATTTTTAGATTAAGAAAAAAATATATAAAGATGTGACTATTGAACCAGTTTATTAGATCAACCAATGGAAGAGAAGTCAGAGCAGTGTTCTATGCAGGAAGTTCAGCGTGGAGTCAGACTAACGTAAAATAATAAAAAAAGGTAGACAAGTAGCTTTCCATTCAGTCCTGCTGCACACATAATCCATTATCATCAGAGAGATAATTGTGGGTACTTGAGCATATGACCATTTTAGAGCATGGTGTATAGGTAAAATATTGAAAATCAGTAAGAAGGGATTGTTCCAGATGAGTGAAAACTTGTGATATTATATAGTGGTCCCAAGGAAGAGGTTGACTTTTTTTTCCCCAAACTTTCCAGAGAATTTGCTGTAAAAGGGCTCATTCGTAAAGAAACAATCCTACCTTTAGGGGCAGGAAACGAAGATTTAGGAGTCTAATTTATTTGATTAATGTCTGCTCAGCTGGGTGCCAAGAAGCTAATTAACCAGAATCCAACCAAGTCTTTAAGGTCCTAAACTGAAAGGCCCAATAGTATTATATACAATTATGTACAAACTGTAACCTCTGGGAGTTATAATGTTAAGTACATCCTAGGGCACATCCTCCAAATAAAATAAGATAGGATTGAATTTATCTAAAACACTTTGGTGGAAGTGAGTTCAGTATCTTGACAGAAAAACTAATATACTGAGAAGCATTAAAAAAGGTAAGTGCTATTGGCTCCAATACTTATTTATGATATCTCCCCTTAGTATAGGAAGAGATATGAAAATTAAAATTTAGTGTATGGTATAAAGGAGAAAGTGTAGTAAATTTTATTTTAAGGTTTACAAGAATATATTCTTCATAAATTTGTTGAAAGCTGTTTTATGGCGTCAAACCTCAAAGTAAGAGAATGCTGATGGATTAGATAAATAAGAGCTTCTGATTACAGGGGATAGGGACCTGGGGATAAAGATTTCAACCAGTTTTTGTTGTACCTAGACAGCCTACAAAAAAATCATATCATTCTAGAGGATTGAGGTAGATATCTCACACAAAATAATGTAATGCTACAAGTAGAATAGGGGGGTGCAGTGGTTAGTGTTGCTGTCTCATAGTGCTGAGGCCTGCAGTGCTATCTGTGTGAAGTTTGTATATTCTCCTGGTGTTCATGAGGGTTTTGGCTTGGCGCTCGTCCAGCAGTACAAAGACCTAGTAACTTGGTTACTTGGCATCTAGGAAACCTGGGCCTGGTATGAGTGTGAACGAATGTTTGTGTCTGTGTGTGTGCGATGGACTGGTGCCCCTTCCAGGGTGTATCCTGCCTTGTGCCCATTGCTATTACTTGCGCTGGGACAGGCTCTGCCTCCCCCTCAACCCTGTATTGAAGGCAGTTAGAAAATGGATGGATACATACACCTGTTTGGCTGAAATGTATTAAATGGTCAGTGTGTGCTTCTGTTGGTTTCCATAGAAGTGGTTTCAAGAATTGAACAAAGAGGATAGTCTTTAGTTTGAAGTAGTTCAAGTAGGTAGCTGCGTCAGCATGCGTAGGCTGCAAAGGAGCAAGTAAAGGTTTATTCCATGCCGAAAAAAGAAGAAAGGAAACACAATGTTTTGGCCTTCCTCTAAATCTCTTTGTCATTCCTTCCCCTTCTCCCTGGGCCACGTGCCCCCTTCTCTTACTAAACCAGCATGACACCCAAAGAAGGCTCCACAGCCAAAACGTTGTGTTTTCTTTCTTCTCTTTTCATCATGAAATAAACCTTTACTTGTTCCTTTGCAGCCTATAGTTTGAGATTTTTGAAGGATTTTTGTTTTTCAAAGAGAAGTAAAATTAAGTCTGATTATTAGTTGCAATGAAAATAAACAATTTCTAATGAAAAGCAAACTTAATATTACTTGATATGATTTTAGATGCTACTTAAAATTAATGGGTACTTATAAGAAGTTAATTGTAATACTACATTCTTTGCCTTTTCCTGCATTTTGAATACACACATTGTTTTCAGCACCAATCCTTGATATCGAAAGAAGCTTCTGTTTACATGTTAATGAAGCTAACTGTTGACTCAAGCCATAGTTTATTGTTGTGTAAACTTACTTTGATCAAGCTCTGGGGCTGTAATGTGGAAGATTTTTAATCCTATATTCTGAATAAAGGAAATCCTGTCAGTATTTACATACTGTAAACTGATTAGTAACTGCACAGTTTGTTGATCAAATTAATTCATCTTAATCTTGAATAAACTAGATTTATTAAGTATTTTGTTGAACCTTAGTAATGTTTGCTGTTGGATGACAAATGTGCAAATATATTAGCCTGTAAGATACTCTTTCGGATAGTATATCTCCTGATTGATGGCATCTAAAATTAATAGAAAATGTATAAATAGACGTAGGGAGTCTCATCACAACAGTTTATGATGTCACTTAGTTTTGTTTTGTTGAAGGTGAATTTTAGGGAGGGGGTTATTTAAACTTTTAACCTAGAACCCATTCCATTTATAATAGCCAAAACTTGAATAGGTGAAGGGAGTCATTCAAATGTTGTCATCCCTTAACTACCATACTGTAAATAATATCTTCATTGAGATATACAAAAAAACACATCAGAATAACATCCAATCTATATTCTTGCTCTGCCCATTCAGCAACTGAACATTTTTTTTTTCTAGATCATGAATTAAAACCTTGTTATTATTTGCCAATTCCCTACTTAAAATCTTTCTACAGGAAGACCTTTTGTGACAAATTGTGAAAATACAGTTTGGTTTTGGGGGGAAAACACAATAGTTGTTGTAACAGAGATGCATGTATTGTATGTTTTAGTTTAGGCTATGTGAGAATTCTAATTTCATTTGTGAGTATTTGCGGAACTGAGCATATCTGGAGAATAAAGGGCAGTGTGAAAGCATACCACTGAGTTACTTGTCATTTGTAATTAATTATTGGCCTTGGGGCTGCTAATTATCAGAGGGTGGTCAAAAAGACACCCACAGTCACCTTATTAGGAATGGCTGACAAAGATTTTGAAGGGCAGACAGACGTCAACATGATTGACACGTAATGTAATCATATGCGTACGAAAATTGCCACATGTTTCAGGGTCCCAGGGAAGAATTTGTGCTGTATGGGTGCAGCTGGTATGACTGCTGATGTACAGTCAGCTTTTCTCTATATTTGATATATTTATGGTGATTTCTCAATTTTATTTTCAGCATTTCAGCATAATAAAAGACGCTGAAGATTTTTCTTTTCTGTTTTTCTGAATGACCAGTTCCATCATAAGGACTTTCCCCATGCACATGTGTATTGACAAAGCATTTCCATTTCAAGAGATCTACTGTATATGACAGACAAGACATTTGAGATTTTAGAGCTACAGGTCATTCTATTTTACTATCTTCTAAATTGAATTTTGTGAAATGCATATGAAACTAGTATTCTTTTGATTTAATCTTATACTTTCATAGGGTATTTTTTGTTGATGCTACAGTACTAACTGGAAGAAGGGAAGAGGTTAGTTAAGTCTGTGTTGTGCCTTGGTCCATTTGTTTCCTCTTTGTGACCATGCAAGCAAGATTAATGCCTAATTAGTTTCAAATATGTGAAATACAGTATCTTATGAAATAGTAGAATTTAGAATGTACTACAAGCATTTTAATATCTCTTTCTGAATATGAATGGGATAGCATTTGCTAAGTAAATGAGGCAAAACAGCTTTTTCATGTTTTATCCACAATAGATGTTTATGTGAATATGTCCTTGAAATTTGTTTGGAGTATAGTTCAAGGGGTGGAGGCGGGGAGAAGAAAGGATATTCTTTCAAAATATTAATGCTTGTGCGGGAAAACAAGTCTTACTTTTACACTACAGTAGACTTACTTTTCACTTTATTTTTTATCTCTGCCTTCAAGCCTGATTCTCATTGTCCCAGATGTGTCTAATTATATTTCATCTATTTGTTAGTTGCAGTGCAGAGTACACAAGGCACAAAGGTAGCTCAATTCGTATATAATTAGGACACAGAAGCAGTAATTGCTCCTTAGGAAATGAATGGCCCCTTATTAAAAAAAAAAACCCTACTCGTTGATTCATTCAAACCCACATCAGTGGTTGTTGTATTTACTCCACTTAAATCTGGTGTCCCAGTGCCAATGAGCAAATGAAAATTAAACACCACAGGAAACATGACAGAGAAGTCATCTAGACAAGCAGGTGGTTGATGAGATTAAAGAGAAGGACACCCAGCCACCCATGTGGTACAAATGTTTCTCAGAAAGGTCTTAATAAGCTACTTGTACTTCTTCTAGAAATAATAGGATTTTTATTACAATGAGAAGGCCCTGCAAACTACTTGTATTGCAGGGTGAAGAACTATTTTTCAAATATTCAAATCAGAAGTTTTGGCCTGCATGTTCTGGACCATCTGTCTGATTCATGTTACATGCTGTCTTCTGCACATTGAAAGTCGTACTCGGAGACTGAAAACTGGAGTTTGGCCAATCTGTTTTTCTCCTGAAGAACTCAGAGCTTGCATTGCCCATGCATTTCAGATAATCATGCTGCATGGTAAAGTACTGTCCAGCAAGTATGGAGACATTTTCTTCACAAGCTGACACAACGTTTCTGTTTAAGCATTCATTCTGCTGCTACCATCAACAGTTATACCATGGATAGAAGCAAGGGAGCCATTTCCAGAGGCAGCCATGCATGCCAATGCTTCACAGATGACGTGGTGTTCTTTGGCTCATCTGCAATTTATTTTTCTCCACACTTTAACCTTTCTATCACTGTGATACATATTTATCTTGTTCTCATCTTTCTATAAAACTAGAATTTTCTCAACTTTTTTGCCTCGCTTCTGTACTTTTGAGCACATTTTAATCTGAATGATCTGTTCTTGGTGCTGATACAGTAAGCGTTTTACATGTTGCAATATAGCCTTAATTGTAGTTCTGCTGTTTCAGTGTTCTATGAACTGCTATTTGGTATTTGGTAGCTTTACTGCTGCAAATTCTGGCTGTTGTTGATTTTCATTCATTTACACACTTTCAGAATATTATAAATGTTGATTCAGTATATATGTTCAGTATATTATAAATGCTGATTATGAATGACAAAGTATTCAACAAGGTTTTCGTTTGTACAATTTCTGTGTTATGGTTCTGAGTGATTTCTTTAATTTCAGCTTCATAATTGTTTCTATTTGACAGATTTTGTTTTTCCATTTTAACTTTTGCCTATGAACTGTACACACTGAAGTCAGAGACAATTTGATAAGGTGTTCTCATAATAGAGAACACATTATGAGTACGTAATAACCTAACAAGAGCCAACTGCCAGCCAACTGTTCCAAGACGTTAAGATGCGTAAAGTGTGTTAAACAGACAAATGTAATATAGCATTATATCAGCTACTGTACATGTTTTCTAGCAGCCCTATGCTAAAGCCTCATTTCTATATACAGTACTTTCCACTTTTTAAATACAAGTATTTAATGTACTGGGGTATATTTCTTTAGAGGAAAGTGATAAATGTGCATGAAATATTTTATATTTTTATATTTGATAAATGAGAAGATGAGTACTATATTTGGTAACAAAGAGGGCTTTCGTTCCTTTAGATTAGATTGTATTCTTGAAGTACTACTGTACTTCCACAGAGACTTTTAAACAACTTTAATATTTTTAATATGCTTGCTATAATTGACTGTTAGATTACCTGCAACTCACTGAGGCATAGTTTAGTGCCAGAGGGAAAGCTTGCTATGAAATAAGCTACAAATCCCAGTTTTGTGTGCACGCACACACTAAAAAAAATGAAAACAAAAAGCAAAATAATGACAGAGAGAATTATTTCCTGACAAAATGGGATTTTCTCAAAGAGATATGTAATCCTGGCAAATCTATTAGATTTGTGCAGTAGAATCCCTTGATGTACTGTGGACTACTGCTATCAAACTGTCTGGAGTTCATTCATCTTAGTCCTCAATAATGACAGCTATTATACTGGCATCTAATAAGGTGCTCAAAAGATCTCAGACTTGAGCCCTTATTCTTGGGTTTCCTGGCTTTGTAATATGCAATAATTTAAGTTAGTCTAATATAAACAATGTGATCTTCTGAGATGCTGAATTAAGGGGGTGTCAATCAATTGCAAACACCCTGGGTCCACGAGGACCATGGCACTGAGGTTATATCAACACTGAAAGCTAGAAATAAATGAACAGCAGCAGAAGTAACTGTTGCCATCTTTTACACAGGCAAATGGTAAGACACCATACAGAATAACTCAGTAAAACAGTTTTGGCAATGACACATGGCTGGTGATTTCATTTTTAACAGTTTTGGAATTCTGTAGCATTTTCCCTTTTAATTTGTGTGGGTGGCACAATGTCAATGGTTCACTGATAAATGGGTGGCCTGTGGGGATGAACAGAGTTTATAGAATTGGCATTCAGCAGTTTTTTTTTTCATTACACTTGATATACACCACTTTCCATGCTCAGACTTTACCACGAAGAAATGTAATTCTAATTGCTTAACTTAACCTGTTTACAACCATTCTGAATAAAATCAGCATACATCATTTATGCGGTCTCAACATTTAGCAGTAGAGCATTGGTATTGGCAAATTTACAGTGCTATCCTGTAGCAGTTAGAAAATAAGCAGTTTTAAAGCCTTGGCTCCATATTTTCTGTTTGCTGCTGTTTACTTCCTTAAATTTTTCTAATGTGCCTGATTTAACTTTATGAAAGCATATGAAATTGATTTAAAAATATTTTTCCTATTCTTATTGAGTAAATCCACATATTGTGTACAAATGACCACAGCATACAAGGAAAAGCACTTTTTAACAGCAGTTGGACAATGGTTTAGATTTATTTGCAAGGGCAGTTCAATGGAGAAATTTGTTTCGGTGCAACATTTTTAGATTTTATTTCTAAATTAAACATTTTTCTTGTGTTTTCTTTGTGTTTATCAGAAAATGAATAACCATGGCACTTGGAATTAGGCACTCGAAAATTATTTTTACTGTTTGACACAGATTAGTAGTTTCTAGCTCTTAGCTTTTTTTCTGTCACCTAGAAAAATACATTTCTGTTTCCACTATTTCTGTTCAACTCTCTCTGTTTTCATTTTCTCATACCTTTGGAAATGTCAAGGTCTCTACAGCAATCAGAAGTGATCTTACTCCTCACCGGGTTTTAAAATATGCTTTTTTGTTAATAAAAAAAACCACCTTGGGGAAAAATTGGCTCTGCCGCTGCAAAAAATCAGTTGCAGAAAAAGGTGCTTATTTATGTTGGTTTCCTTTTTCTAATCTTTTGGTCCCCCCTTTGCTCCATGTCTAAAATGATACTGGAAAACAATAGTTTTGTCTCCCACAAAGCATGCTATAGCCTTGACAAACTAATGTCACCAGAAAACAATACATTTGATTCTTTTAAAGGGGCCCTGTTTGGTTCTCAATATTGCAGTTTGTTGTTGGTGATGACAAGACTCTTTGTGGGCAGTCTTAGAAAATAAGGATAAAAATAGATGTTGGAACTGCCACTCATGTATAATTTTAATCCAATATGATGTATTTAATTTGAAGAAATGTCCATTCATACTTTATTCGATGTATAGTATATGAAATAGGGAAATTTTCTAGGTTACTATCACTTAATAATGAAGGACGTATTTCTTTTTAAATAAAGAACAGTGAGATAAATGCAAAATGGCATCAAAATAAGTGCTGGTTGCATATTTTACCTCGGAACATTCATTACATAATGACAAAGTATTTGCATTCATTATGAAGAGCACCTTATCATGAAGACAACAGATAAAAGAAGATTTAAGTATTTTATTTTAAGAATCTTCTGTTTAAAAGAAGATTTAAGTATTTTATAGTTAGAACTGTGTTTAGAATATGTGTTGTGTAGCACAATTGTTTATGCTGCTGTGTCATTTGCTGCATTTTACCAAGGCCTGCATTTTTTTTTGTGTTAGATATCCTGAACTGGCCTCTGTGTGTCAAACTCCCGGCACTCTGATTCTGTATCCTGGGTCTGATGCAGAAAACCTAGAAGAGCTGGATTTGAATTCTTCTTCTGCTGCTTACAACATCATAATTATAGATGGTACCTGGAGCCAGGCCAAGGATATGTTCTACAGGAACTCATTGTTCCGCTTGCCAAAGCAGGTGGGTTTATTCTTATATACTGTGTATTTATGGAAGAAAATGGTGTGCTAAGTAGTTAAATGTAAATAAAACATATTACTGTCATTAAGAATTTAGTCGCACCTCAACACTAGAGATTGATTTTTGGCTTTCAGTTCTTTTTTTCCTGTTTTCAACGAGCTTTCAACACAAAATGAGTTTAAGAAACTATATGAATGTAAGGGATCTTATAGGTAATATAAGGAATATGAAGGTAAATTGCTGTAATTCATCTTAAATGGTTGGGTATCTTAGTGTTGATCTGCCTGCTGTTACACATTTCATACTACCACATGAAAAAAGAATGACATCCAATGGAGGTAATGATTCTCTGTACCTGCAATCATAGTTTCTTTAAAACATAGGTGTAAGCCCCCAGTGGAAATGAACACAATAAAACAGCTGCTGAAATCCATTGTGTAAGAAATGTCAGAAAATAAAACTTAATTTACAAGACTCCAAGGTTATTACTGAGGGATCATTATTTAAGTTCATTCTTGTCTACTATTTGGTTTAAAATGAAACATGTTGTTCAGTGTCAGATTTTATCCTGTCATAAACATTTAATATTTTAACAGGAACGCTGGAAAAATGTATCACCCAGTCATGGCCGATGATAGTTTAGCAGATGTCAGAAATGACCTTTTAGATATTACTGGTGGCCCATTAATTATTGAAGAAAAAGCTTTTTAAACAAGGCATCACACATTTCCTGTCTAGCCTAATTTTGTTCTTTTTTTAAATCTGATTTATCAGCAGCTACTATCCTGAAAGCATATAAAATATGTGAGTGAGTCTTTTCTTAATTGTATTAATGAAAAATTTAATTGCTGTGGGCAATATTTTTCCAGTTCCAGGTTACAAGCTATTGGTCCAAGCTATTTTTTCAAAATAGGATACACTTCCTTTTATATGTTGACCTGAATGGTTGCTCAGCTAGGGTAAAGAATGTAAGTAAATTAAAAAGTGATCTTTTTAAAGTATGCATAATTCAATCTAGTTTTAAATGATGGATGAAAGAAGTACACTGTTGTGAAGACGACAGAGTGCCATCTCAGTTATTGCCATTACATTTTGACATAAAGAGGTAGCCTGATGTAAGAAACCCATCTAAGTGCAATTACACTATAATTATTTTATGAAACTAGATGCACACGTCAAAGGGGAAGAGATACTGGGTCAATTTTCAAATAATTTGTTTTTATTATTTTATGTATGGCACCAAACATACTCCTGTTTTTCTGTTCATGGCCTGTGTCAGGGAATAATCATTGAATTTGCCTGTAACACTTAATATCTGACTGTATGAATCACACTTGTATGAATCTCTTCCAGCTTTGAGTTTTACTCACTGGGTTGCCTGTTGTATTCAAAAGAAATGTGTGATTTATGTTTGTGTTTAACCAAGTAAATATGAATAGAGATGTACATGTAATTGGGGAGTATAAAAAGATATTTACCTTTAGCTTTCATTATTTTGTATTAGTATGTAAGGTCAAATGGCATTTTCATTTGATATATATGTAGCTTGCTCTTTTATTTTCAGCAGTGCAGAGACCCCCTAGTTATATTTTAATTATGGCGTCTGTTTGCCAATTACATGTGTGAAGACTGGAGTCTGAGAGAAACTATAGCACAACAGTATATTCTAATTCGGGTGGGTGACACACCTGAAGAAGGCTCCATGGCCGAAACGTTGTGTTTTCTCTTTTCAGCATGGAATAAACCTATTACAAATTTCTGAATGGTGTTTATAAAATCTTGGGTTGCGTAGGTAATTTCAAGCCAGGAAACAATATTTTAAATATAAGAACAGTTCAGAATCATTATGTTGCGCAATTAAATTTATGGTCACTAGTGTAACTGATTAACCTACTTAAATTAAGGTTTAATTACATTAATTTAGAATAGAATCTATCAGCTTTACAATTTAGGATGAATTCCCATTTACAACTGCTATTTAAAAATGATAATAAGGACGTCTAAATATGAATGAGGTCAGAAATAATGTGAAACCTGTGAATGCTTAATACAATGAAAGCAAAAACAACCACTCAGTATACTGTAAAAAAAAAAAAAACTTACGCTTAATGTCTTCAGAAAGACTCTAAAACAAAAGCCAAATCTCAGGCCTTTAAGCTCTCTGCTACCTCCTTTCCGTAAACACCCCAGGTTCAGACTTACCTAAATGCTTAGGATTGTAAAACATTTGTGTCTGTTTTTAATTACTGAAATGTTCTGTGCAACATGGCTCATATACCAGTCAGAGAGTGCAGTAGATGAGAAAAGAATACCGAGCCATGAAATGCAGCCAATATTACTGCAATGCATGTACAATTATACAAGTTACCAATCAATGTTAACATATATTTTAAAATCTTCCTTCAAAATTGCAAATCACTGCAGAATCTTGATCATAATTACATCTCTGAATGACTGTCTCTTTACACCCATGAACATATGAGGTCCTCAGTTGTTCATTTCTTATTGGTTTGCTAGTGGAGCCTTTTGGAAGCTCTTGGTTTTATAATGGATGTCATTTCATAGATTCAAGTGTCTCTGGATTCCCAACCTATAAATGGTTAGTAAACACATCATGATTAATTTATGCAACAATGGTCTCTTTGTTTTAAATATAATCTATTGCTTTTGATTTAAATTATTTACCAATATTCTTGTTTTATAGCTGTTTGGTGTTAAAGACCTGTGAATAATCTGTAAATACTGTGAAGGTGCTACCTTCATTTAGTACCATATGTGTGTGAGCCATTACTAAACTTGAAAAGGTAAAACAGAGGTTTTAGAGGTAAAAACACTTGAGGCACACGTAAGAATTATTTTCTGATTTTCAATGTACTGTATGTGAACATATACAGTATACAACAATACAAAGCCTATTCCTTTTGAACTCCCGTTGCATGACCAAATGGAGAAAAAAAATAATTTGAAATGGTTATTTTTATGGAAAATAGAAGAAAACAAATGCGAAGGTGTTGCTGGTCTAAATGATTCTATGTCTTAAAAAAGGAACAAAGTATCCCTATAATATAGTTTTTTTTTATATCCAGGTGATTACCAGTAGATGAGCCTCTTCTATTACTGGAGACATTGCCTCAGAATCTACAAGAATATAATCATTTAAAATACTTTAGAAATCATCAATGACTCAGTTGCTAAAATAGAAAATAATACATTCTTTATTGGTTTCTGTGACATATTTCAAATATCTTTAATATACTGTAAATAGAAATTGGAACATGAGAACAAACAAAGGAAGCCAAGAAACCTCACCAGTTTTAATGCAAATCTGCTTGTATCAAATCATAGGAAGAAGGTCATTGATCAGATGCTGCCAATTCTTCCAAAGCTACAAAAGAGATCCTCATGCAAAAGAACAGTATTATATTAGAAGGCACATATATGAATACAATTTTCCCCACGCACAACACTTATATTGTGTGCAGTTTATGCTCTAAACAAATCAAAGTGACAAAGTCTCAACTGGCTGAAAAATATCTTTTTATACAAACATGAATATGAAACATGAAGTTCTAAAATTAAACACAATGCAAAGACACCCTGCGGTTCCAACGCCATCAAACAGCTTAGCTGCAGCATGTCAGTCACCATGGAAATACCCCTTTCTGTTATGAATATTGTTTAGAGTGTATTATATTGTTTTTCTGTTTCTGTGTTTATATTTAAATTCACCGTACATGCATGATCTGGACATGTATTACACAGCAGTTGACTTATCTTTGATGCTTATGCAGGAGGGTGGAAGCTATTGTGTGTGACTCTGCAGCAGATGGCAGACAAATGCTGCTACTTGGCCACTCCCATGTCTCCAGTCATTTGAAGCTGGCCGTGTACATGTTTTGATTCTGGCTGGTTTCTTGTGAGGCTTACTCTAAGGCTTTTTCATCTTGCCTTGACTTAGTTACAACCTACAAAGAAAAAGTTATTTTCCATTTTATTTGGAACCATTTCCTTTCTCTAAGGGGTAATGTGCCCTATGCATTCTTTCTTTTTTTTTTAAATACTTGTCTTCCTGCTTCCTTTTGAAGTTATATCCTCTTAATATAAGTAGAAATAAACGTATTCTCTCTTAAAGCTAAATTCTTAGCTTTTTTATGATGTAATTAGATGACCTCTTAGTTCAACATAGGGCCTCTGCTTTAACAGATTCTCTTCTAGACCTACTTATTTACCTTTCACTGCTCACTCTATCTACAGAATATCAACTACATTCCAAGTTTACATTACCCAATTTAATTTACAAACCAAGAGGCTGATCCCGGGTTAGGTATAATGTACAATGTGAGGAGTGGCTAATGTTTCTGTATTACTAATACAATTAGTAAATAAATTAGGTAGAAAATCAATAAAAGTAAAATACAAATATTTAGTTTCCTATACATTGTTAGAGCATGCAAATGTCTAACAGTATACAGTATGTAAATAAATAATAAAGGGTTGGTGTGGGTATGAACTGCAACATAAGGATTGGGGTTTTGCCTTGTGCTTTGGCATGCACACAGCCCTCAGATAATTTGCACCCCCTCTTCAACATGTAAAGAATTGCAGAACAAATTAATCAAGATGTTAGAAAAACATCTCTTTAGACAGTGGTCAATCATTTCAAAATGTCAGTTCTTGTACAATGTTTGCTATTTTTATTATTTTACAGTGATATATGTTGGTTATATTTGAATTAAATCGTCAGCCTACCAAACGTTCTGTGAAGGTATAGCATAGAGGTAGGCAGTGACTTTGGTACATTTTTCTTTTCCTGAACTGTATAATAATATTGCAGCCATAATATATTGGACAGGCCTAAGCTGCATTGCCAGGTTATTTTGGGTACAGCACTGAAGGCTCTGACACTTTTTCGTTATCTGTGTCATGGTCCTCCTAGTAACACCATATCACTGAATCTCTTGACTGTAGATGACCATAATGCTTCTTTGTTTGCTAATGTA